GGACGAGACCGAGTTTTCACCGTGAAAGGCTTTAAGAAAGGGCGAGCTACAATGGTTTGGTGAAGGTTTTGTTCAAGACAGAAACACGAAGGTACCAGGTTTTTATAGATTATAAATGCTACTTGATGGGATATGCTATCCACTGGCATAGTCACAGAAATGTTATTCATGAAAAAAAGTGGGTTTCAAAGAACCTCAATTTGCTCGACATCAAGTCTTCAGAGAGTATCAGGCACTGATATTTCTCTTACGCTGCCTCCCTGAGGGCAGTGAACAGCAAAAGAGCGAGACAGCATAATTTTAAGGTGTCTTTGTTTGAGTTCCTATTTGTGCATTTAAATAATTCAAATGAAATAAATTTAATATTCAGTAAATACACTTTATTTTAGGCTACCCATTATCATGTACCTGTTGGCCTAGATGACTCATGAATAAGCATTAACATTAGATTTCTAATAATTTGCTTGCTATCATGACCATCGGTGACATCCTCTCTGCTAATGAACACATATTAAATCACCAAATTCGTCTTGTGATTACATTAGTAACTAAAATCTATCACTTCCTATATGTCAAGAACTGGCCTAAGCAATTTAAATGTTAATATACTTAATATAAATATATATTTCCTTTTAATAACTTTAAACAAGCCAATTTAGAAATGGCATAGAATAAAATTTCTGACATGTAAATATATTGCCATGTTCCTGAAACATATTAACACCTAATAAGTTAATAACTGCTTATTAAATGCTTGTCCATTAACAAGACCATTCTTTAGCAAAACCAAAACCATTTAGTTTCTTCAGCTTTCCTGGTCTGACAATTCCATCAAACCACAATCCAATGTAATATAGACAGCACTGCATGGATAGATCAACATCATTGGTTACAGCTGTAAAGTTTCATTCTTACCACCACATGAAAAGAATTAAGCCAATCACATCAAATACATCATGGCTTTTAAAAACCCCAATTCACTAAGTGATGCTAATTATGGTCCTTGTCAAATACGTTTTGTTTCATAAAGGCTATTAACAGTGTACATGGCTTAGCATGCACTATTTAGTTCCAAAGGTACCTGCCAGTTTATTACTGTCTATATCTACATATATCTTAATAACTTTATAAGCAAAGTATTTCCCCCAACTTGCTGATGAGGAACATACAGGTTAAACAACTTCCCTTAAGTTATGCTAGTAAGGGTGGTACTAGGATTTGGTTACAGGCAGATCTACAGCTCAGACTACTTCACTACGCTGGCTTCTCATTGTGTATTGTATAATATTCCACATTTGAGTTTAACTGTTTCATTTCAATTTAGTTTCTGTCACTCAGGGTTAAAAATTTACCACTGATAGGAACTAATTTCACACATGCCTTTCTTAGATGACTGCTAATAAAACTACCTGCCAGCTTGTCTTCCCTTGTGGGGGCAGAAATCTCGATACACCATTGTCTTTTTCATTTTAACACTAAAAGGCAGTTCACGTTAAGGTTTTAAAAAGTATCAATTTAATACTGAATATTTAGAAATATGGTACACACAAACACCATAGTAATATAAAATGCATACAATTTTAAATTACTTTCTTATGAACTCTTAATATGGATGGCTGACAGTTTCTAATAGATAAAATTTTGGACAAAGGTACCAGACATTTTAGAGGGGTTCATTTTAAATACCATTTAGTCATGCAGACAATTAGGAGGTTTTTAAAAAAATAAATATGACAAATATATGGATTTCTGAAGTATAAATTGACATAAAAATCTATATATTTTCATAATATTTTTCATTGAAGTGTCTTTAAAGAAGCATTCTGTAATATGAAGTTGAAAGCTTGAATCGATGTAATGAAAGCCATGGTTTTATTAAAATTGTGCAATTCACATACCAAATATATACATAAAGGTAAACACAAAACCGCAAACACATTTGTTTTGCCCGCCAAGTCATCAACCTTATAAAATTACTTACGGAAACAAATAAGATAAAGTTCCCAATTCTGAACGTTCCTAAGGAAATACACTAGGAGCAATATATGAAAAATGTTCCTCTTCCTTCTGAGCAGCAGTGAAGGCGTAACAAATTGCCTGTGGGGATTGTCAAAGCTTTCCTAGAACTCCCAGGCGGTAGGTTCTGTTCTAAAACTAAAACATCCTTCACCAGCACCCTTCACAAACCTATTATAAGTTTTCTTTCCCAAACTTATGCTCACAACTCTGAACCACAGGTTAGTGAACTGAGCTAAAGTGTCCCTACCCCCCCATTTTCCCAAAAAGGCAGTTCCAAAGGTGGGGGAGGACTCAACACTGCCTTTTTCTCACCTGAACACTGTGAGCAAATTCCTATTACAAGTTTAAAGAGAGGAAGGAACTTAAGGTGGAACAAATACCGCAAGTCCTCGAGAAACATATTATTCAATGTCCTTTTTGACGTAACGATGAGGAACAAAAAACTGATTCCCAGCTGGGGCCACTGTCTGTGTGGAACTTGCAGGTTCTCCCCATGTCTGTGTGGGTTTTCTCTAGATTCTCAATTTCCTCCCACATCCCAAAGTTGTGCACGTGAGGTTAACTGGAGTGTGGGTGTGCAGTGTTTCCTGTGACGGGAAGGCATCCTGTCCAGACGTGTGCCTGCCTTCTGACCTAAGCTGCTAGGAACAGCTCCCGCCTCCCTTGACCTTGAACTGGAATAAACGGGTTGGAGACAAATTCTCTTGTTTTAATTCATCTTTCTTAAAAGTATGTATAACTCACATTTATTTCAAATGTTTATTATTAGAAGTGTTTTGGGTCTTTACTTAGAAGTTTGGTGAGGCTTTTGTGACCAGAAATAGCTGTAGGAAAGTCTCTCACTTATATCAATTAGTAGAACTGGTTTCATCATATGTCATTTCACTGAAAGTAGCAATTTCCAAGAACGTACTGATGGTAAGAGAGTACGTACTGTACTAGTTATCAGAAGAGCATATTCCTTAATGGAACTGAAAACATCAAAACTTAATTGGGTTATATTACTTACATTTTTTCTTTTAAAATACGTCTTTATTGATTTCAGAGAGAGGAAGGGAGGAGAGAGACAGAAACATCAAGGATGCGAGTCATTGATTGGCCTCCCTGCAAGCCCCATGCTGTGGATCAAGCCTGCAACCCGGGCATGTGCCTTGCCCAGGAATCAAACTTCAATCTCCTGGATCACAGGTTGAGGCTCAATTACTGAGCCATGCTGGCCGGGTTATATTACTTATTTTAAAAGTTAATACAGGAGAGAGAATAGGATTTTTTAAAATTAATTTAGAGCAGTGGTCCTTAACTCTGACCATAAATTAGAATCAATTGGAGAGCTTTTAGAAAAACTTAATAGCTCCAACCCTAAAAAATTCAGAATTAAATGTTGTGGGATGGGTCCATATTAAGAGACCTCAAGATGACTAATATAAAGTGAGGGCTGCGAAACACTGATTTGGAAAAACTATGAATTTCAGGTTGGATTTGACTTAAATAAATTACTTAAAATTCAAATATAAATTATTAGCACTTCCTACATGGTAGGCACTGTTCTAAGAGTTAATAAGGAGGAAATTCTTCTTTCTATAAAAATCGTTGGATAATGCTAATATATATTTTATCTTTTGAATAGTTATATAACTTTACTAAAATATTACTCAAAGCTTTTATTATGGTCTGTCATGAAAGATTTCCTTCTACTTTTCTGAACTATACTCACTTGTTACTATAACCAAAGAGATCACACTCAGAAACTTTCTCAAGATATGTGGGAAGAACATAACATAGATTCCATTTTTCAAGTCATAGTATATGAGGTATTCTCAACTATATATCTGGAGTCACAGTTATAATTTAGGAACTGAAATTAGGTATTACTTTAATGATTAACAGAGTCTCCTGCATCAAGAATGAACTACCATTAGTGTCAGTGCTTGCTTTAAACTGCCTAAAAAATAACCTATGAGAGAGTCTCAGGGAACCTAGTACAAGTGGGTCCTTAATACAGACCATATTTCTTGTGACCCATTTCTAAAACATTTATTTCTTTAAAAAAGTTATAGGGATATGGGTTTTGAAACATACATAATTAGAAATTAGTTATCTCAAAAGAATCCCCCCAAAATACATTTTTTGAAATACTTCATAATTAGAATTTCTACTATCCCAGGATGTTAGCTTTAACATTTTAAGTCAACACCAACTTAATTATGAACTTCATTTGAAATGCATTTAAGTCAAGAAAAATATTAATTTAAATTAATAAATCTGATTTGTATCTACTCTTTAGTCTAACAGTTTTCAGGTTCAAATACGCTAAAATCAACTGACCAATTTATTAATTCAATATTAGGGTAATTATCCTTTATAGCTGGACAGAAGGCCAAAAATGATGGAATTTTTGGTTAAGTCGTAATACATGCACACACAGGAAAATGCAGTAGCAATTTGTTTTCCATACTTAAAAGAATTAAAGTAGCTTTAAAATTTTTATGAAAGCTCAGTAGTTAAAATAAATATTTAATAAAAACATACACCATAACAAGATATTAAGACGTGTTTAAAAATAACTGTTGTCACATTGTTTGCCTTCAATTAAACAGAAGAACTCAATTTAGTTGCTTAACAAATCTAATAATAATTAAGGTTTTGGGGAACAAAATTAAAATTCAAATAACACTAGAGAGATAACACTAAGATGAAAGAGAAACTTACTATGTTTTAAATAAAAAGTTTAAATAAAGTTATAGTTTTTGAGACTTCTTAATGACTATGACCCTAAGAAACATGAATAGTTTGGGGAGTATAGTCAAAGATAACCATGATTATGCCGTGAAATTCTCAGTATGTTAAAAAAAATAAAAATACAGTATATATGAGCACCATTAGAAATGTGTTGTATGTATATACATATATTTAAAACTTTACCTGATTAAAATTTGCATTTAGAGTGAAGGACAAGCACATAATTATAAAAATACATTCTTAAGCTCATGTCTTATGACTTATTTCAAAATGTTTCAGCTGGCATTCCTTCTAAATATGAATAAAAGATTATAAATAATGCCAGTATTCTTTCATAGCCAAAGTTCCTTAAACAGAAGGTCAGTGAAGAAAAAGGAAAGCATTCAATAAGTGTTTTCAATCCACAGCCTGATTTCAGCAGGTAAAGGAAAAATGAAGCCAGCTAACAAATGGGAATTCACAGAATGAAACAGCAAATGTTGGACTTGCCCACAAGGGGTTATTATTCAGTTCTCACACTACTTTTTACTGAGAGTAGTCAAGATTATTCTGCTGGAAGAATCTTCCTTTTATACTAAAAGGTACATATTAGCCACCTATAATTTTTCTGCTATATTCACCAAAACTCAGAAAACTATGCCATATCTTATATAATACATACCCTGGGGTCAGAAAGGTCTTTAATAAAAATCTTGTTTTGATCCTATGTAGAGGCAGCTCATGATAGACTGTTATGAATCTTTGCTATGTTTCAAAGCTGCCATAAACAATCAAATGATATAGATTGTAGTTCTGTGAAACCACTGTCACCTAATAAAGAGTAATGCTATTCACCATTTAAAATACGTTCAATCTCTTCTAGTCTTTTTAAAGCAGCAACTCTTTTCTTCTCAATTTCTTTGATTTCTTTTGTTGTTTTGTGAGGGGTCTCTTTGTCTGTATCTTTTCCTAACTGTTGGTTGGTTTTAGACTGACTGTTATCATCAATTGCTTTTATTATCTGTGTGGGTCTGGGTTCACTTCTTATTTCTCTTGCATTTTCAGTTGGAATTTTTTTTCCCTTTACACCTAAAGGCTTAGTAACTGGGAATATTGGTTGTTCTATTAAACTAGATGCAGAAATTTTATCCCTGACTATATTCAAATGACGCTGGATATATTCTTCACGTGGTGCTAATGCTAATGTTTCAAGCAGGCATCTCTCAGCTTTTAATAAGTCTTTTTCTTCAAAATAAACAACACAAAGATTGTGTTTTCCTTGCACATTGCTTGGGTCCATCTCCAAAATCTTTTCAAAACATTTTTTTGCTCCAACTATATCTTTCTTTTGATTCATTAGAATGTCTCCCTTTAAAATGAGACCCTTGATATGATCAGGATAGTATTTGAGTAACTCTTCTAAAACTGGCAAAGCCATTAATTCCTTTGCAGTCTGAGAATACAGGAGAGCCAGATTAAATAAAGCACTTCTGAAGTCAGCTTGTAATTTTATGGCTTTCTTCATCCACATCTCTGCTTCAGAGTTTTTTTTGTCATCCATGGCAAGCATTCCCAGATTGAAATAACCATTAGCGTCTTGAGGCTCCTCATTTATATAACTTAGAAGTCGTTTTCTAGCTTCAGGTCTGAGTTTAACCTCACCTATGAATAATTAAAAAAAAAAAAGATATTGTTAGCAAATAAATTAAGTCAGAGGAAAAAAGCCACTTTAATATTTTATCTAGTTAGATTACAAAAAGACAGCATCGAAGTAACTAACTGCTGTACAGGAATCAAAAAGCAAAATCTTAAAGTCTTCATAGGAAAGACAGTGAGTTTAAAAACACTGAAATGATAGCAAATATCTCCTTACAGTTTGAAAGCTAGCTGGGGATAGCAGAGGAAGAACACAGAATTAAAAGAGGCATGAGACTTGCCAATAGACATGTATACAAATTTGTTTCTGTTAACAGTGTGACTTTATACATTGAACAAGTTATTTAACTTCTTTGGGTTAACTCATGAATTTCTTAGAATTACATGAGATGTATGTAAAAATGCTCAGAAAACTAACTATTACTGGGTAAACAAAATGTTTCTGTCTTACTAAGATTTTTGTATGTTACTTCAAATTCTTTAGAATGTTTCAAAAGTAAAATAGACCATTAAATATAAAGCTTATAAATATAAATTAAGATTTAGTAAACAGTTATTGAGATAAATTTATTGCAAATAACTACAAAAAAATTTCAAGTTCATCAACTATAAACTTTAAGGTACAACCTTGTGTTGGATAATGGGCCCTTTCATGATTACTAAAGTTAGCTAACTTCACAAAAACATTAGCTCTTTTCTAAATTTATACTTTTTTGAATACCAGGCTAAAGACCTTCCCCTCTATTCTTTTATTTGACAATATGATGAATAAAGATAACCTGAAAATTAAAGCAGTAGGCTTAAGTCCCTATCTTGGACTAATTACCACACTGGCTATATAAAGTTGGGGTAGTTATTATATCTATTTGGTTCTCACTCTGTAATCCATTAAATAGAAAATTGTTAAAAAGTAAACTCAAAGGTCTTCTCGCTCTAGAATAATATGACCTTATGATCCATTCATTTTTTTGCAAGTTTTAAAAAAGAATTAACTTAAAAATGTAACTATAGAGATTTTCCAAACATAAAAGATTATAAATCATATACACTGTCTTCTGAGTAGTACTAAAATCCCTATATATCAAAAATCCTGATTTATTATAACTTAGTTTTGCTAAATCATAGAAATTATAGGAAATTACAATAATATCTCAGAGAACAGTAAAACTGGATATAAAATAATCAAAAGTATTTGGTCTTATAAATCAAGCAAAGTTAGACATTTTTTTTCTAAAACATATAATGCTCTTGGCTCCCTAGAAATGATGTAAAAAAATTTTTACAAGTTCAGATTATTTGAACAATATTTACATGAGATTATATTTTCCTGCATAAAAATAACAGAATAAATTAATCAGGTATTCCTTAACAGACTGCCTGAAAACTCAGTCTTCACATATACGAGAAGAACTAACAGTTAGCATTGTCTTATATGTTAATGCATATTACTTGAGAAGTTAACTTCAAGTATGTTACATATTCTACTTATAAGTCATTTATACAGTTTTGATATAAACTATCCATTCATAAAATGTTTGCTACAGGTAAAGATATTTTAAGTTAAGGTTTTCAAATTACAATGTCTTTAAATGTAGAAATATTTTGAGAAAACATACCTGATTCTTGCATTAATATAGCAGAATTGAATAATGCTAGTTTATGCTTTGGATTTAGTTCTAAAGCATGATTAAAGTTTTTCAGAGCTTCATTTGGTTCTTTAAGTTCAATCTGAACAATTGCCAAGTTGTACCAAAGATCTGCATTATTTCTGTCCAACTCTAGTGCTTTAAGATACGCTTCTTTTGCTTTGAAAGGTTTATTCATTTTTAAAAGCAATTCTCCTCTGTGGAAAAATCAAGCACAAGCTTTACTTACAACATTACCATGTCAGTTTGTAGATACTATTTTTGACAAATTTTAAGCTTTTCCATATGTTCACAGCTTTCTTTTTTCCTTTTAATTGAGGTTCATAAAGCTCTTTTTCAAAATAACCATCTGGCCAAAGAATACTGAGAAAAAAGAACAAAGCTGGAGGTATCACATTCCCTGACTTACAACTATACCACAAAGCTACAGTAATAAAAAACAGTATGGTACTGGCAGAAAAGCAGACATGCAGACAAATGAAACAGAATTGACAGCCCAGAAATAAACCACACATATATGGATAACTAATTTTCAACAAAGGAGCCAAGAATATACAAAGGAGAAAGGAAAGTCTCTTCAATAAATGGTGTTGGGAAAATTGGAAAGCACATGCAAAAGAATGAAACTAGACTGCTATTTTATACCACACACAAAAATGGACTCAAAATGGATTAAAGACTTGAATGTAAGCCCTGAAACAATAAAATACATAGAAGAAAACATGGGTGCTAAACTTATGGACCTTGGTGTCAGAGGATTTTTGTGAATTTGATCCTAAACTCAAGAGAAGTAAAAGCAAAAATAAAGGAATTGAACTATACCAAACTAAAAACCTTCTGCACAGCAAAAGAAACAAAACAGAACAAAAAGGCAACCAATTGAATGGGAGAAGATATTTGCAAACAGCATTTCCAAAAGGGGCTAATATCCAAAATATGTAAAGAATTCACAAAACAACAAAAATCTGATTAACAAATGGGCAGAGAAGCTGAATAGGCACTTTTCCAAGCAAGCTACGCAGATAGCCAACAGATGTATGAAAAGCTGTTCAGCATCACCAGTTATTGAGGAAATGCAAATCAAAACCCCAAATGAGATACCACCTCACCCCTGTTAGAATGGCCATTATAAAAAAGACAAGAAATAACAAGTGTTGGAGACGTGTGAAGCAAAGGGAACCTTCATACACTGTTAGTGGGAATGTAAATTAGTGCAGCCACTATGGAAAACAGTATGGAGTTTCTCAAAAAATAAAGAATAGAACTACTGTACGACCCAGGAATTCCTCTTCTGGGTATTTACCCCAAAGCAGGAAAACACTTAGCATAAAGATATCTACACCCCTATATTCATCGCAGCATCATTTACAATAGCCAAGGCATGGAAACAACCTAAATGTATCTATATAACTCATCCATAAAAAGGAACAAAACGTTGCACTTGTGACAACACGGGTGATCCCTGAGAGTGTTATGCTACATGAAGCACCAGAGGGAAAAGGACCTAAAATATGACCTCACTCATACGAGGAATTACAGCAAAAAGCAACAAACCAACAAGACACAAACAGAAACAAACTCACAGATACAGACAACAGAACGGTGACCAGGGGGAAGAGGCTGGTCGGGGGAAGGCGAAATAGGTAAAGGAGTCAAACACATGGTGATGGGAGGAAACCAGACTTTGGGTGGGGATCATGCAATAGCATATACAGATGTCAAATTGCAATCTTGTATACCTGAAAATTATATAATGTTATTAACCAATGTGACCCAAGTTTAATAATAATAATAATAATATATAAACTATCTGACACTGTCCTCAAACCTTAACTCATTAGTTTGGCAAATTTGACTTGATATGTTTTCAAATATTATTAAAGAAAAAAGCATTCATGACTTTAGAGAGTAAGATGTGGGGAAGTATTCACAGAAAAAAAAGATTCATTAAATATATCTTTAAAAGAGACAGTCTAGACTACTTCAGAAAAATGAAAGCAACCAGAATGGGAGATCAATTTGTCAGGAGACCAGTGATAGCATTTTAAGAAAGAAAATAAAAACAGTAGCGATGGGGAAATTCCAGTATTGTAATCTATGTTAGAAGTCTTACTTATACAAAAAGTAGAACATTAGAAAAATATTAACCCTTCTTATATTAATTTTATCTTCAATGTATTCTTTAAACATTTTAAATTTAATTTTATTGGTAATTTTAGAAAGGAAGGGGGAGGGAGAAATGGAGGGACAGAGAGAGAGAGAGACTGAGAGAAACAAGGATATAAAAGAGAAACAAATATCCATCGGCTCCCACTGGGGTCAAACCCGCCACCTTTTGGTGTGGCTCCAACCAACTGAGCCACACAGGCCTGGGATAAAGTATTCTTATAAAATAAACATTTACTAAAAAAATTAAAAAAACTGATCAAGAAGGGGCGCTAGTGCCACCTGGAGATAATGTTGAGAAACACTGGAACTGAAGATCAAAAATTGAAAACTATTCTACAAATCTTTCTAATGTGGTTCTATTTCCATTTAGAGAGTTCAAAACAACATTTTGGTTAAGTATACACACACACACACACACACACACACATCAATTTAAGTAATGAAGCAAGAGTACTTTTATAATACTGTTCTTTCCTAAAGTGTCAGCATAGGAATGAAATCAAATGTACAACTATTCTTAAGTAGGGAAATTTCAGATGAGTGTTCAAATATTATCTTTTCATGCAGAGACTGCTGAATAATTCTTTATGTATTAACACATGACAGGTTTTATTTACAGATGCAACCCCACTAAACCTAGCGAATTTCAAAGGGTAATGGATAAGGCCGAACAGAGACAGCCTCCAACTAATGACAGGATCAAAAACTTATTAAATTCTGAATGCATTTTCCCCATAGAAACAATGTCACAAATTATGATTAGGTTTCTGGGCCGGGCTTACAAAACAAAGTTTAACGCACTATTTTTCTCAAGTATAATACAAACAATAACACAAGGGAAAATATATCAAGTTCTGACATGTGATGCCAAAAATTTATTTTTACTGACAACTAAAAAGTTTTTTTGTGGTAAAGGCATTAATAACCAGTCAATTCTCAGTATGTATTTAAGCGAGCTCCTCAGAGCTGGATACTAGAAGTACTAATTATAAAATGTTAAGTTCCAGGTATTTTAAATAAAATGAATTTGGTGATAAGAAGCAAATGAAACTAAGGGAGGTTCTTTCTTTTAACCTTTCTTTCACATAAAACCTAAAGTTTAATATTATAAGTTATGGACTCCCTTGTCAATTTCAAATACAATCAATTAAATTTGACTGTTAGTCTAAGTTTCTATACTGTTGGTTGCAACGAAGATTATGGAGGGGGAAAAAGCTAATTTAGTCAAAATAGTCAAAATGTAACATGCAGATAGATGTAGCTTCAATCTTCTATAAAGGTATCTTAAAGTGAACAATACCTGCTAATGTAAGCCTGCTTGAAGTCAGGCCTCATGCTTATCGCTTGTCGATATAGCTGATCTGCTTCTTCCAGTCGGGACTCATCTGTACGGATCAGGTTGGCCAGATTAATATAAACGTTTAGGTGGTTAGGGGCAATTCTGGCTGCATATTTTTTACCAGGAATAATCTGTTCAAGAGAAAAGGCATTTTCATAACTGGATATTTCATTACCAAATAAAAGTCAAAAGTAAGTAGGCCTAGTAGCTTATTTAAAATATATACAGAACATAAAAAGATAATGCTATTAGTTTGTTACTATGTTAAAATAAACTATAAAAATGTGAAAACATCTATAGTCACAACATGTAAATTAAAAAATATTTTCTTGCACTAAAGGATATGTTTTTTTCATTCATGCCAGCTCAATAGAATGAAGTCATATAAATCTGAACTTTTACAGGCTAAGGTCTCAGTATGTTTACATCAGACCAAAAAACAGACCTCAGGACTCCTTTTTCTGTCTAGTACATTTGTTAAACCATGTCAACTTGCATGTTGTCAGCAAAATATTTCCAGGTAATGACAACAAGATAGTTAATTTTATGTCAGTTATACTAAAACCTCACTTTTCTGGTGGAGTTAGAAAATAAAATTCTCTTATTAATTGATTATTCAGGTTAAATAAAAGTTACTATATATAACATATATGGACCCAAATTTTCAATGAACAGAATAAATTGTATCTGATAAAAATCTACATTGAACACAATTTAACTGTAGAATCTTAGTAATAAATTCTTAAGACATCATGTGGTTCAACTTTGTTTTTAAAACATTTACCAAACTATCTAATCATTTTAATATTACTACTATTAATATAGTATTAATACATACTACAATTGAAAAAACTGTAGCCCAGGTTAAACTGTATTTTCCAATGATGCATAGCTCGTCAAGAGCAGAATCAGACTTTCCAACTTTGATGCTATATTGTGATATCAAGTGAATCTTGGACTTGTGTCATTATAACAACTGATGGACACAATATAGCAACAGAGATGTATCCATTTTGTTTTATTCATTTATTTTTTGGTAAGAATAGTGCTAAATTTAGTGCTTTATATACATAAATACAATTCTCTTCACTTAGTTAATTTAACTCACTGATAACTTGTAATCAAGAATATAAAACATTCATTACTTTATGAATTTATAGTTTTACAGACTATACAAAAAATAAAAAATTTTAAATATGTTTTTATTGATTTCAGAGAGAGGAAGGGAAAAGGAGAGAGAAAGAAACATCAATGATGAGAGAGTCATTGATCGGCTGCCTCCTGGAGATCAAGCCCAAAACCTGGGCATGTGCCCTGATCAGGAATAGAACAGTGATCTCCTGGATCATAGGTTGATGCTCAACCACTGAACCACACTGGCCAGGCACAAAATTTTTTTTTTTTAAATTGAGCTAAGTAAATGTATTCCTTTATAAAGCTTCTAATAAATACATGGTTCATTGGACATCTTACTTTTATATTAATAAATTGAAGAAAAGATAAGGGTTTTCCACCTAGATACTTTTATTCAATATGGATATTTAGCAGCCATGACACAACAGGAGTAAATTACGACAACTTACTTGAGGCATCAGTGATTTAGCCATCATGTAAGATTCTTCAGCTTCTTTGGTTCTATTTAAATTTTTATAAGTTCTTCCTACATTCATGTGGGCACCAATATCATCTAAAATTTTAAGAAATTATTTGTTAGCAAATATACTAAATAGAATTTAATGTAAACTACTAAGAGAACATGTTTCTAGCACCAATAACACTAAGCAAAAAATGCAAAAGCAGGCATTCCTCCTTAAAGGTCTTCTAATACAACTTGTTATAATTGATGACCAATGCTACACTAGCAAATTATTAAAGTACTGTAAAGACAGAAAATACACATATAACAAGAAAAAACTATCTGAATGGAACCCTGACAGATTAAGACATGAGAAGAAAGAAACAGAGGCAATGAAGAAATTTACATCATTTTTCTTCACTGTATTTTAATATACCATACTAAGGCTTGCTTCCATTTCCTAAGCTCACCGCTTTGGAATTTACTCAAAAAGTATGGCTCAACTCTAAAAGTAAAAAGGATCTACAAGTAAAAAGGATTACCATAATTCCTAGAATTATTTCAAATGTTATAACTAACAAATACGTACCTATGGTGGGACAGGGGCAAAAAGATATGAAAAAACTTTGTGATTTTATATTCTAAAATTTTTGTGAATGTGGTTGGAATAAAAGTATAATGGAATGTTAGCATTATATACTACTACTCAATATGTAGCAGCCCATCTCTCTTAAATGATGATAAATTCCTACATAATTTATTTAAGACTTTTAAAAGGTCGTGTTAATATCAGAATGTCAGGAAATTTTGTCTCATTTTCTGATACAAAAAAACTGAACCCTCAGCAAGTTTATCAGGAGTAGAAAATTGTGCAAATAAAATATGAGAGTTTAAGACACATTTTCCAGTAGATATTTCAAAGGTCTGGAATAAAGACAGAAAGAAGGGAAATCTTAGATCAGACAAATTTTAGCCAACATGAATCTCTAACAGACATGACATGGTTTCAAATTACAATTACTACTTGCCTGTGACCGATGATTTTGCAATTGTGGAATAGGTCTCTGCCTGCAACTCCCAGGACACATAGGGGCCAAGCATATATATCTTAGGCATTCCCCTAGGAGGAGAGTAACAGTCCTAAGATCTTGCTACATTATGTTTCAGGCTGGCAATTGTGTGCACTGCACCAAAACGGCCAGATATAGTACAGGTCTGTTTAGAGAACTAGGGGACAAGATTGGAGGAAGGAGGTTGATTTCTGGTTTTAGATGTATTGCTGAATCTCATGGGGTTCTCAGGAGGGGTGGTCAAGCAAAAAAAAAAAAAAACAAAAAAAAACTTAGCCTACCCATTCCCAATCCTGGCTGCTTTTAAAAATTGATACCTTAGTCCCTCCCAGCCGTATCAAAATAATCTCCAGAAATAGGATCTGTAAAATGTTTTTAAAAAGTTTAAAAGGCAATTTTGATGTAGAGTCAAGGTTGAAATACACTGCACTACCAAGTGCAATACAGTAGTTAGTCTTTGCTTCTATATAGCTCAATTTTTCTTAAACATCAGATATATTTATGCCATTTACTACAGAGATCAGAAATTTAGTCAGGAAAAACTAAGAATATGTAAAACCTGAAAAAAATTAAAGTTTAGATACATGTAATTATGTCAGCTAAGTAAAATGTTACTGAAATCAGTCCCAACTAATCTTACAAAAGAGGTTATCTATTTGGATGAAAAACCAGGAAAATGGATACCCAATGGAATCAGGATCTTAGAATTATGGTGAGGAGACACTGTCATCAATAAAGATTCCAGACACTGGAGTACGCAGCCCCACTTTCTCAAAGAACAAACAACAGCCATTAGACAGCCTTTAGTATCAAAAGGGTTACTCAATATAGCTAATAAAATGAAATATATGTTACAAAGTTTTAGGGCTGCAGAGGAGGAAACAAAATTACTGGTAAGGTAAATTTAAATTTGAAAAAAAGGTAAGAAAAGCAAGCAAGATGTAAAATACAATGATATTTAAATGATGAGAAAGCTATAGAATTTCAAAGAACCACCTTGCTATTATGAGTGCACTATCCAAGCCCACAACAGCAGGAATCAATCAGTCTGTCTTTAATTCAGTGTAAACAAGGACTGGCATGTATCAGGCAACTCTGTGCCTAATAATTCCTCAGCCACCAACAGTGAAGTTGAGGATTCCCACCTTGATGGCTCAGGCATCTATGCTGCTTTCCAGTATTTCCTATTCAAAACTTGTCTGTCAATGCATTTAAAAGGTAAATTTATAAACACCTGGGAACTTCTAAACTCTTTTTAAAAGTCAGTTATTTCCATCTTGATGGTATCCAAATTGAATAACAGGTCCATGATTCTTTTCTGATATAAATAGTTTCAAAGATTTGGACTTAGATAAAAATGAAATGATTGACTTTATGGAAAAAACTAATCTTGGAGAATTCTGGTAGTCCTTGAGAAAAGTGTATCCTTGTCTTGTAAAGGTGTTTATGGAAACTAATTCCAATTGCAAAAAGTTTTTATCTTTGTGAACTGGGCTTTTTAAAAACACTTGTAACCACCAAAACAAAACAAAATTGTAATAAGTTGTTCATTTAACATGATATGCATATCATGGCCAAAGATTATTGTATAGTTTATATTCTCATTTTGGCTAAGCAAGAAAAGCCATTAGACTGATTTTTTTTTTAAAGTTAACTTTACAATGTAACAGATTCCTACTCTGTGTGATGCTATACTGTTCCAGGGTTTTAAATAGCATCTTTATGCTTGTTACTCTGAATTTCTATATCTAGCCTATTCCCCTTATCTCAACTTATAAATCTATACCTGTATATCTAACAGGGGCAAAAAAAGGGCTCCTGATTCTCCTCCCTATGTGTCATTTCATTTGTCAAATCTATCTATGAAGAAATAGCTAGAAAACAAAGACTAATCTGAGAAGCCCCTGAATGCCAAATTCAGTGTTTGTAAGATTATGTGCTTTTTCATAATAAATTGTAATAAACTGGTTTACCTGTTTTCTTAGTCCCTGGCTTATTAGAAACAACAATTTTGAGAGTATGGTAGGGAAGTCATACTGAAGGAGGCAGGTTCAGCAAGTATCTCAAAAATAGCAAAAGTTAACAATTGACGATGAAAATAAAATAAAACTGAGTGCCTATACCTGACAACGTCCTGTGATATGCACACTATTCACTAGAGAGAATTAAACATGCACATACACACCCACCTAGACCACTTAATTTAGTCATTACAACAATGCAATGAGAAAAAAATTACTGTCCCAATTTAGAAATAAGAAAGATAAGGCTGAAGGAGCTTAAATAACATCTAAGTCTCAAAGTCCCCGTGTATAGGACATCAAAGATAACTTTGTTTCTCGGAAAACTCCTAGAAGAAATCTACAAGACTTTACAAAGTAATAAAACCACCACAGTCAGTGACCCCTGACTGTGGACAAGACCGTGCTAGATGATGCAGGGGGTATGAAGATGAGTAAGATGTTCATGCTGCCCCTGGGGAACTCTGAAATTTAAATAAATATTTTTCATAAATAAACATAAATGATATAGTACTAAATAGAAAATTACAAATATAGGAAAGACACAGAAGTAGTTGTAAAAAGTTTTGAAGATGAGCAACATCTGCTTCTAACTGGAAATATAGGTTGTTTTTTAGAAAGGAAGCCATGTAAGATGGGCTGTAAAAGATGGGTAGGACATGGTACAGGCAGATGGGAAAGATGGGAGGAGCCAAGAATTCTAGGCTCAAAGGAGCAAAGCGAGGAAACCCAAGATATGGACCCTATGTTTTGAGGAAAACTAAACTATATAAAGAGCAAGGGGAGGTACAACTGGGTAGCTAGACCATCAGTCATATTTCTCTTCACCATTCTCTCACTGAAATTTGGCTTTGCCCTGGGGACATGGGTTACATTATGGCTCTTCCAAGCGGTCTCTGTGTTCTATCCTGCACAACACCGGGCCTGGAAGAAGGATAGGTGTCCTCCTTGATCCTTATGACCCAAACCATTCCCACTCCTCCTTAAAATCATCAACTCTAAATGTCAGGCCACTAAACTATATTATCTACTATCCCTCCTGGTTGCATTCGCCAATCTTTGGGTCATAGCTCCTGGCTCCTTGTCATTCTCTCCAACATCATGGTTGTCAAAATTCTTAGTGATTTAAAAATTTACAGAGATGAAATCTTCTACTACGTGACCTTGATGTCTTTTCTCCCAATGATTTTCACCTCCAACTTAAAAGTTATTTCATTGGCCATAGTCACAGCTAATAGAAAAATAGGAGGCAGTGCCTACCACTGCCTACACCTTCAAGGACATTTAGAAATGTGTGTGTGGGGGGGTACATTTGGGTCATCATTCTGAATGGAAAGTAATGATGGCATCTGGTGTGTGTGTGTGGGGGGGGTCACATTTGGTATATGTCCTAAAAGAGAGTTCTGCACACTTGAGCAGCATTACTACTGAAGAACATTTGTGCTCTAGCTAGACTCTACTCAAACACCAACACTTTTTCAGGTCTATAAACCTTATCACCTTTCCTCCATGACCTCATCTTCCCCCTCACATACCTTCTTAACCATCTTAGATTCTGTGTCCCATTAATATAATCATCCCCTCACCCCTTTCTTGTTTAGTAACACATCTGACAAAATCCTAATCCTATTTAACAAAATTCTCTATGCCTGTACCACTGCAGCTGCAAAGCAGTAGGAGACAAGCATATAACCATATCAAATGGCTTAATTTTAAGTATTCTTAACCCAAGTAGGGTGTTAGAGCTGCTTGACAATTATACCTACATTTTCCTAGTCTATACAGTTTCCTAGGTGTTTGTTTCTCAAAGTGTGATTCATGGGCTAAGCATCACCTGTGAACTTAAGAGAAATGTAGAACTTCAGGTTCTACTCTAAACCTTTATCTATCAGAACAAGCACCATACACAACAAGATTTCCAAGTGATTCTTAGGTACATTAAAGTTTGTGAAGTACTAACCTAGAAAATTGTTCCACATTTTCTACTCTTAGATCTCCAACACTTCTCACTCCTTCCTCACTCTCTACTGATGGTTTTGTTTCCTGAGAAAACAGGAGCAAAGGGCAACTTCCAGAAACTTCCTACATATCATCTATTCACCTGCCCATATCTATGTCCATACGCTCTGTCTTCCCTGCTACCAAAGGTTAACAATCAGCTCTGCAACTGAACAAAATCCTCAATCTGTGCACCAGATCCTATTTATCTCTTCTCACCTATTCAAGGACACCAACTCAATAATTTATTCCCTCACCCTGAATTATTACTTTTCCCAGCTTCAATGGATTAGCTGCACACATGCTGTTTCTCCCACCTTAAAACAAAAGAACAAAACCCTATCATCCTACTACCCTCTTGACCCCATACCCAGCACCACCACTTCTTATCAGTACCCTTTCAGAGTTTTCATTACCAGTTGTTTCCAATTATTCCTCCCCACTCTCCTAAACCCACTCCTAGCAGGCTTTTGCATCTATCACTCTACCAAAATTGCTCATCAGTGCCAACCAACAACTCCACTATGTTTAAAAAACAAATTCCATTTTTTATGTCTATTTTTTAAAATAATGTCTTATAGTTTTCAGTGTATATGTCCTTCATATCCTTCGTTAAGTTTGTTCTGAGGTATTTAATTCTTTTTGTTGCAACTGCAAAAGGAATTTTTTTTTCCATTTCTTTTTCTGAAACGTCACAGGCAGTCTATAGGAATGCAATGGATTTTTGTGCATTGATTTTGTATCCTGTAGCTTTACTGTATTTGTTAATTGTTTCTAATAGTTTTTTAGTGGAGTCTTTAGGAGTTCCTATATAAAGAATTATATCTGCAAAAAGTGACAATTTTATTTCTTTATTCCCAATTTGGATGCCTTTTATTTATTTCTCTTGCCTGACTGCTCTGCCTGGACTTCCAGTACTACGTTGAATAAGAGTGGTAAGAATGAATTTCTTTGTCTTATTCCTGATCTTACAGGAAAATCTTTTGTTTCTCTTCATTGAGTATGATATTAGCTGAAGATTTGTCATATATGGCCTTTATTTGTTGAAGTACTTTCCTTTTATACCTATGTTGGGGAGGATGTGGAGAAAAAGGAACCCTCATTCACTGCTGGTGGCAATGTAAACTGGTACAGCCACTATGGAAAACAGTGTGGAGGTTCTGCAAAAAATTAAGACTAGAATTACCATATGACCCAACAACCCTTCTTTTGGGTATCTTCCCCCCAAATTTGAAAACATTTATTTGTAAAGATAGATGTCCCCCTATATTCATTGCAGCATTACTCACAGTGGCCAAGACATGGAAATAACTGAAGTGTCCTTCAACAGAGGAGTGGATGAAGAAGATGTGGTACATATATACAATGGAATACTACTCAGCCATAAGAAAAGATGAAATACTGCCATTGTGACAACATGGATGGATCTTGAGAATATCATGTTAAGCAAAATGCGTCCAGAAAAAGCCAAGAGCCATATAAATTCACTTATATGTGAGATATAAAACTGAGAGCAAGCTCGGCTGGGCGTGGCTCAGCGGTTGAGCATCGACCTAGGATCCAGGCGATCAGGGTTCGATTCCCGGTCAGGGCACATGCCCGGGTTGCGGGCTCGATCCCCAGTTGGGGGCGTGCAGGAGGCAGCCGATCAATGACTCTCTCATCATTGATGTTTCTATCTCTCTCTCCCTCTCCTTTCCTTTCTCTGAAATCAATAAAGATATATTAAAAAAAAACAACAAAAAAAAAACCCCAAAAAACCCCAAGAGCAAGAAATGACCCTTTTCTTGGCATTGCGTTACTGTCCAAAGAGCATGTTAAAAAACACCCCTGAAAGCAACAAATAAGCAAGACAAAGAAACATTTATAGACACAGACAACAGTACAGTGGTTGCCAGAGGGAAGGGGGAGAGGTGGTAAAGGGCAAAGGGGTCAAATATATGGTGACAGAAGGAGACTTGACTTTGGGTGGTAAACACACCTTGCAACATATAGATGATATATTACAGAAATGTACACCTGAAACCTATATAGTTTTATTAACCAATGTCATCCCCTTAAATATCTTATATAAATATTTCTAACAATTAATCAAATTCAAAATAAGACAGCATTGAACACTGGTAGTATTCAAATCACTGGAAATAAAGCTTGAAAATAAACTCTGCCTTATTTTCCTCAATATAATCAAGCTTTTAAAAAGAAAATAAACTATCCAAAAAGTTTTATTAATTAATAATACATACCTGGCTGAACATGGGTAGCCTGTAGGAAGTACTTCAAAGCTTTCTCAAAGTTCTTTTCATTTTCCAAAGCATGACCCACATTATTCCACAATTTGGCATTATTTTTATTTACCTTAAATATACAAATAAAGGTAGAAATTAGTTACAATTAAAAAAATATGACTCCAATTAACACAGATATTTGTTTGACATATTATTAGGAATGGAGTGTTCCACAGAAATGTCCATAAATAAGTGAAGGTGCTCAAAAGGTACATGCTTCCATTTATAATGTAAATAAGTTCTGGGGGTGTAATGTGCATCATGGTGACTATAGTTAACAATATTGTGCTGTATATTTGAAAACTGGGAAGAGAGTAGATCTTAAAGATTTTCATCATAAGAAAAGAACTTGCAAATATGTAAGGTGATAGATGTAAACTAAACTTGTGGTAATCACTTAATAATATATACATATAACACCAACTCATTATGTTATACACTTTAATAAAAGCTTATGTCAATTATATCTCAATGGAATGGGAGGGAAAAATCATTTGGACTTTTCCCCAGAAAAAAAAAGACTCCGATGAACACATATTTTTTTGGTATGCTACTGTGACAGAGTGTTCCACTGAGGTCCCGGGAGATGAGGAGGAGCCAAATGAACACTTCACCAAACTTACCCGCTCCCCCTCCTTTCAGCATCAACACACTGAAACCACAGCAGTCTAATTTCATCTATTTAGTTTAATTAATTAATTTATTTTAAATCTATCTTTACTGATTTCAGAGAGAGGAAGGGAGAGGGAGAGAGAGCTAGAAACATCAATGATGAGAGAGAGTCATAGATCGGCTGCCTCCTGCACGCCCCCGACTGCGGATCGAGCCTGCAACCCAGGCATGTGCCCTGACTGGGAATCGAATCGCGATCGCCTGGATCCTAGGTAGATGCTCGACTGCTTAGCCACATCAGCCGGGCTCATCTATTTTATATATTAGAATTTTACTAAAAATTTTATTTGATCAAAGCATAGTGCTATTTGAAAACTCTGCTCTATTACTTGCTTTCTTTTGGGAGAAAAGATATTTGAATATGAGAATACATTTAAACATTGCACTAGTTACTTATTTTGGGGCTCAACATAAAGCTAGTTATGTAGTCTATTATGGTAATGGGAATCCTGAGATTAAAGCTCTTAGTTGATCTGTGCTTTCCGAGTTCATAGATGGGTATGGTGTCCCTGCAGGTAGATGGTATCCAGCCCAAGAACTAGCTACAGTGTTTGGGGCTATGGTTTTGAGCATTGTCCTGGGAGTAAGGACAAACAAAATTCCTGAAAATTATGGGGCTCCATTGGTAATCCAGAAAGGTGAATTAATAATAATGGCAATGAGGTCTCATCTGTTTGCAGATTTCTGAGTTAGGGGAGACAGTGGAGTTACTGAGTGGTACAAGAGGACAGGCATCTGATTTTATATAGATGTTAAATCAAGAAATCACATAGACTACTGGAATGAGGCAGTAATCCAATAAAGCTAGGCAATGAAGAGTACTGCAATAGCCAAAAGGAAGTTAAGAATTTAGAGATTTGAAGAGAGGCATTGGTAAGGGAGAAAAAGAGANTAAAGCTAGGCAATGAAGAGTACTGCAATAGCCAAAAGGAAGTTAAGAATTTAGAGATTTGAAGAGAGGCATTGGTAAGGGAGCACCTGGAAAAAAAAGTCTCTGCTTGTAACTTTTCTAGAAAACAAATTTTATGATTTTTAAAAAGACCTTATTCCTATTCATATTTTCCATTCTATAGAAATGCTGTATCAATCCTTTCTGCCAGTTCCTATCCTTCCTATAGTATTGTAACTGTTGGCCGGTTATCTTCCATATAATAGGTTGCCATTTTTTGGTATGTATTTTATTTCATTAAATCTAACATGCTATCAATTATTAAGACTCACCATTACTTTATGTACCATTAAGAAAGTAAAAAGGTCACTAATTAATTGTAAGATGACTTTCACTGTAAGATTTATTCTAATTTCAGAGATGTTAAAAGGTTAAAAAATGCATACCTTAAAAACCAATAAAATACAGTATTCTTAAACATTTTATCATTTGAGTTTCTGATAACTGTATAGCATTTCATGAATTATTCACCTGAGTTGTGGACAAACAGGTAAGTACTATTCAAAGCACTGGTTAAGGTATATATTATATTAAGAACAACTTATTTTTATTAACTTTTTGGTGAAGTATTTAATATTGATACTTAAATGTCTAATTAAAAGTAAAGTTAAAGCATCTTAGACATGGCTATAAGAAGTAATTAATGACATACTTTCCTGCCATTCTGGATAATACTTTACCTTCAAGGCTGACATAAACAACGTATATTCAGACTCCCAATCCCAATTTCTGTGGAGTGTTTTTAAGGCATGAGTGAATATCACCAAAGACAGACAAACCCAGGATAACTTCTTAAATACACTGCTTAAGAGAAAACAAAACAAAACAAGAAAACATTGTCTATATCACCAAAAGCATTTTAACTTTTAGAACAGAAGAAATATGTTAAGTATCCCCAATGTCATGTCTGAATTTATTCTAAAGATTAGGGATTGTTCTAATAATCATCCTGATTCAGAGGGACCAACACCAAAAACGTAAATATCTGAATACTATCTTCACTTCAATCTTCAATTACATTAAATATTCCAATATTTACCTCTATTTCAAAAGCTTTGCTTAGACTTAGTAACACAACATTGATAAAACTAGCTTTTAATTATGACTTTTTATATTTAGAGTCCTTTGTACCATTACCTACAACATGAATATCCTTACTTGTGCTGAAAAAGGGTGAATCTTATCGCTGGCTACATTTATATATTTATGCTTACAATTATATACCACAGATTATTATGACATTCTTGGAATAATTTTAAAGCTAGAATTGTTTATGAAAAGTCAGAGTAAACTTAACTCTTTATACAATAGATGCAAATTACTTGTATACTTTAGGCTAATTATTTTGGACTCAATTCCTCATCAATACAAAGATGCTTATATGTCAATAATCCCTTTGACCTCATTTAGTACTAATTTTCTCTAAGTCTATGTTTTAGTCCTGGTAACACAGTCTAATTTCTTTCATTTGAAAGACACAGCCAGAACACGAGTGCATGGGTCAGAAAGAACATGGACAAAGGAAGTAGTGGATGTACATCTCAATCAAGACTCTGCTACTTACTAGCTGTGTGATCCTGCAGAATTCACATATCCTGTATGATCTTCAATTTTAAAATGTGCAAAACAGAGTTAAGGAGTATCAAGATTAAATGAGAAAATAAATCTATACAGTCTATAAGGACATCTAACACATGGTAGATACTAAAAAATTGGTACTAATTATAATAGGGTGAAAGCTAAGGGAAAAGGTTCAGTAGATAGTAGTGAAAATTGTAGACATAGACGAGATCATCCAGGGAGAAAATGCAGTGTGAGAAAAATGGCTATGAGTAAACCTCTGAGAAATAATAAATACTTCAAGAGCATGAAGAGGAAGAAGTAGTCAGAGAAGAGAGAGAGCAGAAATAAATACATGTGAGAGAGAATCAAGAGACTTTACAGATGCCAGGAAATAAATTTTAAATAAAAGCATTAACTAAATTTAGCTACCAGGAGGCAATTCGTTGTCTGTGTTGGTAGATTATACAGAGAGAAGTCAGAATTCTATGTGTTGAATGGTGACTGGAAGTGAGAAAAAAGAGACAGTGACCATTTCTTGTATATATACAGTATGACTACTCTGTTCCTTAACTGTTAAAGACAATTAGAAAATGGTGGTTATGATGAAGATGGTAATGATAGCATGAAAATACTGGAATAAACGGTTATGAGTACGCAAAACAGAGTTTATTCCAGTATTATTACTTATTAGTTACTGTATTATTTTCCATACGAACAACTGTAAACCTATTTTTGCCCACCCTGTACATTTTATATATAACTATGAACTAAATATGACTCACTTAAGTAAGAAGACTATATCTTAGTTCACTGCATATGGAGTAGCAATGCTCATTTTTAACTTTAGTCTCAATAATATCCTTGTTTTCATTTGGATCTGACTCAAAGTTTATGTTTCAGGCTGCAAAATAAATATATAAATATGAAGAACATAAGATGCAGTAGGTGCTATGGAAATTTCCTAACATGAATTACAGAAAAATGAGACTATCAAGGTGAAAAACAGAAATGTATAAAAGTATGACTTACAAAACTGAACTAAACAAACACTTAAGTACTTAAATGTATCACATTTGATTCTATAGTTAGTCAGCACAAAATAAACTAATGCTTAAACTCACCTTTTATTTGATATTTTGTGCCATCCATGGGCTACCAAAATACAGAATCCCATGCTAGGCACATATAGTACTCGCTCAGCAACAACAAATCCAACTGGAAAAAAAAGGTTCGATGCAGGAATAAATGGTAATGCCATTAAACAAAGCGCCTACGAAGAAAAAAAAAGATTTTATTAAATTAAAAAATATATGAACACTCAAGAGTCAAATCCAAATATTTTGTCATTTAATTTGGAAATTAATAGTGGACCATTTTTAATAATATTAAAAATAGTATTAACTTAAATATAAAGAAGGCAACTGAAGGATAACAACAAACAAAAATGTATGTCAACCAGGTGAGATGAAGTCTTTTTGGATGTTAAAACTTATAATTAAGGTTCATCTAATTAAAAAAAAAGAAGTGTTTTTTTTTGCCCGGCCGGTGCGGCTCAGTGGTTGAGCATCGACCTATGATCCGGCAGATCCCAGTTCCTTTCCAGGTCAGGGCACATGTCCGGGTTGCAGACTCGATCCCCAGTGTAGGGTGTGCAGGAGGCAGCCGATCAATGACTCTCTCATCATTGACGTTTCTACCTCTCTCTGCTTCTCCCTTCCTCTCTCTGAAATCAATAAAGATATATTTAAAAAAATAATAAAAAAGAAGTATGTTTTGAAAATATGTCTAAGACATTGATAATTTTTATACATGTAACAAATGTGCATGCAGTAACTGACAAAGACCATTAACAGGTTTTAACAAAACAAAACCACAAAGGTTGATAAAATAGCTGAACATGTCAGTTTTTGTTACTATTATAAGTAGCCACATCATACTGGAAACTGATAAGGTGTGTTTCAGACAAGACAGTATACTACTACTTCTATATCTCAGCATACTTTGCATAATATTCTGATGAGTCAGATACATGTAACATAGGCTTAGAATATATTTAAGAATAAAACTGCCTCCCTTTAAAACAATAGTCTTTTAGTCTTTTTTCCTAAGACTTCTAAGAAATTCTAACAAGAATGTCTGAAATTCTAACTGAAATAAAACATCTGAAAAATATTTAGTATTTTTTTCATTTTGAAAATTGGATGGCATATGGTTTCCAGGTTATAAAGCCATTAAGCGATTACAAAAGGTAGGACACAAATAACTAGCACAGAAATAACTTGTGGAATAAAATAAGTTAGCTATCATTGGAACATCTGTTTCTATGGACATATGCTTCCATATTTTGTTACCTTGATTTGTTTTATAGTACCTAATTGAATAAACAAATTGATCCTTCAGCTTTGTAAGTTTGAGAGTCTTATTAGTTTGAGAGGAAAGAATGTCTCTTTATTGGTAAAATATAAATGTAGACATGTATTTATATTAAAAAGAATACTTTCTCCATGAATCACAAATTAATGATTTCTATTGAGACAATATTGAATCTGAAGAAAAACACTACCACCATACTGTTCAGTAGTATACCAATTTATATATCTGAAATTTTGTTTTCTTTAAATCAAAATAGTAAAACATTGAGAGTGCATAAATCATTTACATTTCCCAGAAGTGCTTGATAAAAATAACCAGCTAGCTGTGAAACAAACAGATATTACTAAGTATATAGTCTTTTTTTTTTTTTTTTAATATTGCGTATTAATTCATGGCTGTCCTAAAGAAATTTCATTTGAAAGAAAAAGTATTAAACTGATCCAAAGATGCATCCTGGACTGATGCATAAGCTACACAAAAAAGAATAGCAATCTACCCTAAAATCTATTGGTTCTTAGGTAAAGAATGTCTCCATTAATTATTAACTTAGATATCCTAGTATGCTCTCTATTAATGTATGCCAACCTAATTCACTATGACTAGCATAATCTCCTTCCTCCAATGATGTAAATTCTTTTTGAAAGGAAGGCTAGCAGTGGAAAGAGCAGAGAGTCTGGAGACAAATTTGTGTCACTTCTTACTTCCCTTGTAACATAAAGGTAAACTAATGAATTGACTATTTGCAACTGTTTATAAATAAAATAACTACTTAAATTTTATTGTTGAGATACTTAGGACATTTTATTAATAAGTGCTTAACACAGTATCTTGTACTTGGTAGGTACTCCTTTGATATACTTATCCCTTCCAGAGATCTTCAGAAAATATCACCACAAAAAAATAGCATGTTTAAGACTATACTTTAAGCTGTTAATCTAAGGTCATAACTGTTCCTCTTTCATACACATAAAATAGAATTTATATAAAACTATGTTTATTCATTGATACTACCCTCTATTTTCTATTCAGCTTAACATTTACGCATCATTCTTTCATTTGCAAAATCTTTAAATTCACCCACCCCTCCTTTTTTACCTTTCTTTTAGCATAACCTCAGCTTTGGGTATACCTGCCATATATCTGCATTGTCTATATTTATCTGAGCAACAAACACTACTAGAAGCAGCTCCCAAGCGGAATAGATTAATATCATCACAAATTCATGATCACTGACTTCGAACTGATTCTTAAGACTACTCAGGATTCCTAGGTTTCTTTGGTAGGCTCACTCCAACTTTCCTTTGACTACATTGAAATTTGCCTACTTTCCTTAAACTTTTTACCCATGCCACTTTTTGCAGGTGACCACACTTCCGAACTTGGAGAGAAAACTAAAGCCACAAAACAAAAATTCTTTCAATTCTGTGCTACTAAACATACCAACATCCACACACATTCCCTTTCATTTCCATCCTTCCTGTAACAAAAGGTGTCTCCATTAATTTATCTCAGGCCAAACCTGAAGTCCACATCCCCCTGCTCCTCACAAATCTCATTATAATCACCTCTTCTTTCATTTACACAGTGACTTTCCAATCAATTGTATCTTTCCTACCTATACTTAAGCATGCTCTTGCCTCTCCAACCTTAAAAATATTCTCCTTTGACAACGTATTTTAAGCTACCTTAATCATTTAATATGTTCCTCAGGTATAAAACAAGTTCCCACACTCCCAGGAAAAGACTTTGGCAGCCATGGTAACAAGTAGCTGATTTTAACTGTGCTTAAATTCAACTCAATGATTATGTTTTTGTAAGCCAACCCTTCAGTGATATCCCCTTGCTTCTACAAGTCAGCCAACTGAGTATTACAATGAAAGTGATCTTAAGTGCCAATGAATCAACAGTTCTACCTCCAATATCAACACACTCTCACGTCTAAGGATCCCCCAAGCCCATCATAAGATCAGCAGTCTGCTATGTGTGAAGCCACTGTCTGATCGGCAGTCTTTTCTTACTTAGGCAGGCAATAATTTCAAGCTTGTCTTATTCTCTGAAATATTCAAAGTTAAATTAAATTACCCCAATAGGTTATCTACACTAGCAATCTCCGCTTTCTCATCTCCTAATCAAATCATTCCACAGAAATAAATTTCACTAAAGTAACTAACACACCTAAAAGAAGTCAACTTCTACTTGACAGCACTGTTAGTGTTCAGCATTCTGTCTTTCTTGAAACTTTCCTACTCTTCTGTCCATTTGGTCTAGCTCTTATTTAGGCTCATTCTCTTCTACAATTCTAAATAATGAAACTTTTCAAGACCTAGTAGTAGGCTTCTTCTCTTTCACTCTATTCAGCCCCTTCAACTATTTTCTTAGAGAATTATGACCAAATACTCTAAGGTATTCATTATATGCATACATGAACTTCTACTCTACGCATGCAGAACGGTACTAGCGTTATAATCTTTGAGAAACATGACAAAACCCCAGTTGAGAAAGGCTGCCATAACCTCTCCACAGCCCTCCTTATCCACATCTGGCCTCAATTACTATCTCTGTGCCAACTGATCAAACTTTTATCTGCAGTTTAGGCGTCTCTGAACTCCAGGTACAAAGTGATATTCAAAATCTTCTCTACACTAGGATGTTTCAAAGGCCCATAAACTTCAATAGGTCCAAAGATAATGGTAAATTAATCTTTCCCCTAAACCCTATATTCTATCAATCTTCTCTTTATCTCAGAAATTGGCTTCAAATTTCTCTAGAATAAAATTTCCCTGGAAATGAAGACTTGTATTTCTTTTTATTATCATATCTAGTGTCTAAACGCTGCCAGGTACATGGTTGCAATAAAACATTTTTATTTATTAAATAAATCTAGTGGTTGCAGATTGAAGAGATATATTTGCAGATTATTAGAAACACTTTTGGGTAAAGGCTCAAGAAAATATTAAAGATTATTATTGACTTCAATAATTTAAAAGAAGGGCATGAAAACTATCATGAGTTAGAAGTGAGGGTAGAGTAAGAAATTTACGAAGAAATGGACTTCAGAAAAACAACAAGAAGATTTTCAATTAGAGTTCTCTGAACAGAGTAAGAAATGCCTTAGGGAGTAATGATAATCTTGCTAATGAGAATTAAAGAGCTATATATTTCTAGCTGCACATCTTAGATGACACTCTTCTCTGTGTCAAAAAAACACAAAGAAATATATAATATGATCCATTTCTTCAAAAAGTGTATAATATAGTTGGGTAAAAAGGTAAAAAATATAAAAAAATGATGCCAAAAGAGATGCCTCATGATTTCAAAGTTCCTACCAAATTAGGAAAATTAATAATTATTTTTTGTTTTACATGCTGAATATATGTAAAATTATGCCTGCATATCAAATTCTGATATATAATTTTAGGATAACCTAAAATAAGTTCACAAATTAGAATGATGTTAAACAAAGATTCTGTTTCTAAAAAGATGATCTGATGAATTAATCAATGGAATGTAATATCATCTAAACAATTAAGCAAGTTCCTTACCATTAAAACAGCTTTGGAGGAACCACCGGGGTATCTGAGACTGAATACTCCCAAAGCCCCCAAAAAACAAAAGAAAGTAAATGTGGCAACATTTCGAATATCTAGAAATGACTCTATAAGTGGTATTGTTCCCATGGTCCAATCACAGCAGAGCTCTGAAGGATTTAATAGAAGCCAAGCATTCACAGGAAGGAGATAGTTAAAAGTTAGCTGCCTTGTAGGAGTTGGGCTCACAGCAGCTGGGTTATCAAACCTGTACATAAAGAATGAAAAAAAAAGTTATTTAAACTAAAACACTTTCTAAACATAAAATTAACATATAACTAAAATACTAAATAATAATAAAAGCAATGCTTTATATGTAATACCTCAGATTCCTGCCAGAATTTAAAGTGACTAATCTTTTTTTAAAAAAAAAATATATCTTTATTGATTTCAGAGAGAGGAAAGGAGAGGGAGAGAGAGAGATAGAAACATCAATGATGAGAGAGTCACTGATTGGCTGCCCAGCCCGCAACCTGGGCATGTGCCCTGACCGGGAATCGAACCCTGATCGCCTGGATCTTAGGTTGACGCTTAACCATTGAGCCACGCCCGGCCAGGCTAAAGTGTCTAATCCTTATAGAATATCTAGTTGAGAAGAGTGTCTAGTTATGAAGAACTGATTGAAGGGCAGCAGGTTATCTATTTCTAGTTTTTTTTTTATTAGAATAAATCAGAAATGCATACTATAATATTATGACACTGCAGAAGTGCTTTCATTAAATTATGACCTTCTGATTAAAAGTAATAAGTTGGGTAAGATTCATTATTGCATGTGATGTATGAACGCTTCCGAGAAGTTTCTTTCAGCACTAAATGCTAATAAAAATTATGTTCCTAGAAAAAGTTACTGTTTTTCTCTTGTCACAGAAAGAGGAAACTTATATCACTTATGAGCTTTTCCTGTTTGTTTGCTTTTAGGGAGCTAAAAACCAAATTTCCAGCACAGAGTACTAACTATATAGGGCTATGTAACATTTTGTGTTCTACTTTTTTCTCCTATTAAATATTCATATAAACTTATATACTAGTTTATATTCCCCAGGCCATGATATATTTAATGTACATTTCATTAAGTTAATCTATTTTCTGAAAACTAAGTCAAATCATTTTTTAAAAGTGCATTTCAAAAGAATAACTTCACTTTTATTTCTTTATGCTATGTTCTAAATTTTATTGGCTAAATTAATATCTGTAGTCCTATAAAAAATCAACTTCTCGTTTTAAAATGACTAAATCAGTGAAAAATCAACCTCTACCATTTGTTTTACTTGGTCTTCTTAAAAATATCAAATGATTGAGAAAAGTAGATACTATTTAAACAAATAATGTCATAAAAAATTTTTTGTATTTAAATATCTACATTATGAAAAATAATAAATCTTGAGAATCAGGGCTTAAATTCCCAAAATAACCAACAGAACTGAACACAAAGCTGTGTTTTCTCCTTTAATCCACTATTCAGAGTTCATTTATTATAATTAATAATTTATTTAGAATAGCTGATTTAATAAATGAACTGCAGAGAAAGATAGCATGTCAAAGCAAATTAAATCATATTATAATCAACTTCATAGGGTAATATAACAGAGTAAGATTTATATACACACACACAAATATATATTTATATGTAACATACCCCAAACACCCATCCACACATACATACACAAAACAAATACATTCAGACATTTTCACAGTATAGAATTAGAAATGAGATACCAAATTTTCTAAAAGAAATGGTAAACAGAATAAAAACACTGAAACTAAGGGGTAAAAAAGAAAAGGTGTATATCTACAATTCAATCTCTTTCTCATACTTTAATACTTAAATGAGTTGTTCAGTTAAGCATGGCTAGATCTGAAGGTAAATATTCAAGAAGTTAAAAAGTAATTATTCTTTAATGAAAAAATACTATTGAGAAGGATAATTACTTGCAAAAATATTGCAAAGATAGTCCTGGACATAAGAGAATTACCTGAGTAACATTCTAACCAGCAATGCACTATTATGGACAGCAACATGAACAACATTTTGGTCTTTTGTTTAAAAAAAAAAAAAGTTCTTGCTTATAATGTCAGTAACTTAAATAAAATTTAACAGGGAACTAGTTAAAATTTCATTTAAATTTTAGCCAAGTAAGGTGAAATGGAAAAAATGCTAAATGTTACAACAGTAAAAAATGATATGTAGGCTATTAACATTCAGTGTAACTTTTGCTTCTAGCCTTAAAAAACTGAAAAACTGGACAAAATCCAAAAAGCTTTTTTTTTAACACATTGACCATCAAGCAAAGGAGGACAGTAATACCTTGGAGAAGAAAAATAGCCCTAGCTGGAAAGTTTAGTACTTAGAGTTTTTAGTTGTGGAGCTGTGAGGGAGAATCCAGGCAGAGTCCTGGGGTCCAGAGTTAGTGAGAATATCATCAAGAAATTTGAGAAAGAAAACTCAGGAGATCCTTAGAGTCACTCCAGTTTTCAGTACTGATGAAAACTAATCAGCATATTATGTAAGGAAATACTCAAGGTCAGTGTAGTGGGTTGAATCATGTCTCCCCAAAATTCACTGTCTACCTAGCACCCAGGAATGGGACCTTATTTGGAAATAGGGTCTTTAGTTAAGATGAGGTCCTACTGGGTTAGGCTGGGTGATAAATCCAGTGACTACTATTGTTATACAAAGTGGAGAGAATACAGAGAAACACACACGGAAGAAGGTCAGACAAAGGTGAAGAGGACTGAAGCGATGCAGCAACACACCAGGGAATGACAAAGACTGCCAGCAACCACCAGCAGCTTGCGAAGAGGCAGGGAACAGATTCTTCCTCAGAGCCTTCAGATGGCAACAGCTGTGCCTGACACCCTGATTTTGGACATTTGGCCTCCAGCACGGTGAGAATAAATTTCTGATGCTTTAAGCAACCCAATTTCTGGTAATTTGTTATAGCAGCTATAGGAAAACTAATACAAGTAGGAAAGTACCTCCTGAAAGAATTAGAGAAAAATTCCCAAATATAATACAGAGCTGGAATAGTTCCTCAGCAGCCAGAGTGGAAATCTTCACAATTCACAGTTCAATGGGTAGTCAGAAGGGTCTTGTGTCAGAAGTGGAGCAATATTAGCCCTAATCAAAATGCTACTGTGATCTCACAAAACAAAGCTTAAAAAGGTAGGACTAGAAGATGAAACTTTTTATACATATAAATATATCCCAGAACAAAGTCTAAACTATCTATAGGAATACATTAAGGTAAAACTCACATATGCATCTATTAAAAAATTACCAGGCAGGTGAAATAGGAAAGTGTAATCCATGAGGAGGAAAATTATTTAATCTAAACTGACCAAGAAATGATACATGAAAGTTCAATTAACCTAAGCACAAAAAAATATGAAGATTAGAGAAACAGTTTGTACCTTTGGATCACCTCCCAAACTTCCAGTTATAAATTGAGTAGCCCTGGGGATATAATTTACAGCCTGGTGACTATAGTTAAAAACACCATACAGTGAGTTTATTACATATTTGAAAGTTACTAAGAGAGTAGATCTTAAAATTTTTCATGACAAGAAAAATTTTTTTGTGTAAATATGTATAGTGACGGATGCTAACTAAACTTATTATGGTAATCATTCCCCTCTCTCTATATCAAACCATTATGTTGTATACATAAAACTAATACAATGATATATATCACTTGTCTCAAAAAAATAAAGAGAAACAATGATAAAGAGAAAATACAAAAAGCAGCCTAGAAAAAAAAGACACACTACATGCAGAAGCATAAAGATAAAGATGACAGAAGATTTGCCGTGGAAAACAATGCAAGCCAGGAAGTAGCACAGTAACATTTTTAGATTACTGAATGAAGAACAGTCAATGTAGGATTCTACAATGAAGGATTACACTTAAAAAAAAAAAAAAAAAAAAAAGGCAAAATAAAATAAATATTTTTATATACAGAAGCTAAAGGAATTTATCACCAGCAGACCTACATGTAAAGAAATGTTAAAGTCCTTCAGTCACAAGGAAAAATGGTACCAGATGAAAATCTCGATTTAATAAAAAAATGAAGAATACCAGAAATTGTTTATCTATGCTTTAATATAATAGACTTTTAAAAACAATTTAAATTTCTTCCAAAGATAATTGTTTAAAGCAGAAAATAACAATGTATTGTGGGATGTACAAGGTATATGCAAGGAAAATGTATGCAAATAACACAAAGGCTAAATTCTTATTCACAACAATTTTAGATATTTACATAAGAATTTACTTATATGTTTATACTATATACACTGACATTTATAATATATATACTTGCAATTATAATAGCCCTTGAAGATAAACTGTGACAAGCAAAGGGTGTCTATATACAAAAAGCCTAAAGCAGTGATTTTTAACCAGTGTGCTGCAAAAATTTTTAAAACATGCAATAGCTGACTATTTAGTCAGGGGCACTGACCTTTTTTCTCTTAGATTGTCAAATAAAAAAATGACAACAGCCAGCATAACAATAGCCATCCTGTGTGAATGAATCAAAATTGTACCTTTTTTTTTTTTTTGTCAAGTAGGCAAAAAATATATTTTTGGTGTGCTGCAAAATTTTAGTAATTAGTTTATGTGTGCCATGAGATGAAAAAGGTTGAAAATTGCTGTGCTAAAGCAATCACTAAAAAGTAAACAAAAATAGCAAAAATTTATAGCAAACAAGCCAACAAGGAGATAAAAATGGAATTAAAAAACACTAATACAAAAGAAGACAGAGAAAAAGGGAAACAAAGAGATGAGACCCCAAAAAACCAATGAACAAGAAGTTACATTTACATCAAACTACGTCATATCATATTAAATGTAAATAACTGAAACACTCCATTTAAAAGACAGATAATCTGACCAAACAAAAAGAGAAAATCCACTTTAAATATAAAGCTATCGATGGACAAAAAGTAATAGGCTGGAAAAAGTTAAGTATGTTAACACTAACTATATTAATATGGCTTGTGTGGCTATATTAATATAAGACAATGTAAATTTCTGAGTAAAGACTATTACTTGGGATAAAGCTCATTTAATAATAATAAAGGGCAAGAGGAAATTACAACCCAAAATGTTTATGCACTTATTGATAGTTTTAAAACACAAAAGCAAAAAGAGATTCAACTGAAAGGAAAAACAGAAAAACCTACAATTATAGTCTGAGATTTCAACGTCCTCTCAATAATTAATAGAACAAATAGGAAAAATCATCAAGGATATAGAAGACTTAACACCTAACCAATGTGAGGGTAATTATATCTTGACTGTGCTGGTTTCACCAGTGTATACGTATCTCAAAATTTATTAATTTGTACATTTTAAATATATGCATGTTTTAAAAAAATATTAATTATAACTCAATAAAGCTGTTAAAAACCTCAATGTAAACTAAAGACTTTCTAAAATATTTACAATCACTTAAAATCCACAGTTAATTTAAAAAGGATGTAAAAAGAAACAGTAACAAAAACACAGAAATTCATACCTGGTGAACACTGGGAGTTGCGACTGAATAACCTGGACTCTAATCACAACAAGTAATAGTGTACTGAACATCAAAACGATGAGTTTTATCAATGTCTGCAGCACAGAAAATGGAAAACTACCCTTTCCACGGAGAAACTGTCCAGCAGCAGTACATAATGAAGGCAAAGTATACTGGAAAAGAAGAAAAATATTTTAAATAAGTAACATATGCTACAATGTTTTCGACAATGTAGTACTGTCTAAAAACAAGATTAGATAGAAACTGACTATAATTATAAAATCAATATGGAACAATTTGTGGAACTGATAATGAATAAAATGGAGCCCAATAATCTTATCCAATAATTAATTATATTGTAAAGTATTCCAAATTGCCTAACAATTCCAGTACTGAAACTTAAAAAGCAGCCTTTAAAAAGCTGAAGGTGTTATAAAATGTTGAGTAATTTTCAGTAGTATGAGGGAAAACATGCTTGTTCCTTGCAAAATTTTGATATTATTATTGGTAAACGGACTTATTTACATCATACATTTAGAAATTAAATTTATTATAATCAGATTCAAATAGGATAAAAGAGAGCATCAAAAAAAATTTATATTTCTCCTTACCCCCTGGGCAATAAATACTTCATACACACAGCAAATTCCCACAACTGTTATTCCTTGTTCTTTACACAATGTTGCAACAGCCACTAAAAACACTGTCAATGCAATTGGAGTCCACACTGCAATTTAAGAAAAGAAAAATATAGAACTACACAAAATAATTTTATATCACAAAAGGATATTTTAAGTTAGATAACTATTATACATTACTGAAAAATTTTACTTGTGATTCTATATTCACATTTGTGCCATTTCCCACACTTATATTTTAAAATGTATGAGTAAGTTATGCTTTGCATATTCAAAATAAAACATCAAGATGTCTAATTTAAATTAACAATTTTTTGTGGAGATAAAGATTATCCAACCAAATACTAACTTTTCAACCAAATGTAGGGTGGCCAATTTGGAGATGAGAAACTTACAAGCTTGAGAGTCATAATTAATGAACTATCAATTTGAGATAAAGGCAAATACTTGAAATTAACACACGGATATCAATATACTTCACTTATTAAAAACCTGACACTAAAAACTACTAGGCAAAGTAGAGTACCATTTTTACTAAGAAAGACTAGAAAAACTGAAACAGGTTAATAATAAGAATATAAATCAATACCATTCTTTTAAAAATTTACAATAAAATATTCACAAGCTCTATTTAAATGAAAAATCTACATCATCAACTTTAAGTAAATGTCTACTTTAGTAGTAATTTAATTAAAGAACAATGACTTATTAGAGTAATTCTGAATCTACTATTAACTTGCTTTGTGACATTGGGCAACTGTTCTGAGCTTCAGTTTTCTTACTGGAAAATACAACCTCCATTTTTTTTTCCAGTTTAAAAAAAAATGATAGTACGATGTATGACCTCATTTTTTATTCATTAAAAATACTAATCAAGGAGATTAAAGATGGTGGTGGACTGAGTGGAAGCTACACACTCTCCTGGGACCAAACTGGAATTACAAATAAAGCATAGAAAAACCATCCTAAATAATCAACTGCAACTGAAGACGAGCTAGAGAGCACTCTCATGACCAAGGAGGAAGAATGGAGACCACATAGAGACTGGTAGAAAGTGCAGAGGCTTGAGAGGGCTGGCTGGCCTCCCACAGGCAACAGCTGAAGGTCTAGATAGATATCTCAGCTGTGGGAGGGCTCCCACTGAGGACTCTGGAGGCTAAACCCCAGGCTAGACTTCCCAGTCAAGAACACCAGATCTGAGAAAGGTGCCCACTAAACATCTGGCTGTGAAAAGCAGCCAGGTTTCTGTTTGCCAGGCAGACGGCTGGAAATTCAGGCGCCTTCTTAAAGAGCCAACACACAAAGTTTCATGTGCAGCCACTCACCCTGGGCTCCAGCAGAGGGAGGGCAGAGTGGACTGTAGCTATATGAGGAGAATCTAGGGTTGTGGACTCTGGAGAAAGAGCTCTGAGGGCATCCTTCTGGATTTCTGTGCTGAGTCATTCCCTACGCAGCAGAGGACATCTTTCACAGTCGGACATTTACCTTCTAGCAGCTTTTGCCTGAGGTGGAAGCAACTGCCCCACTCTGCTGGAAAACCTCTGGCCCTACCCTTTGGAGTTTCTAAAGCCTGAGGCTCATTAAAAGACTGATAACAATCAGCTGCCCCACCCTGTGGAGGTTCTACAGCCTGAGGATCATTAAGAGAATCAGCTTAATCATCCTGCAGGCAGAGGCAGACCTCTGAGTTCTTTGAGTCTTTGCCTGATCTGCTTCTGGACCCTGGCCCTGGAAAAATAGAATTTGGTGTGCATCTTGGTTGTGTCTAAACGCACCCAGCCCCAAAAGAGGGGACCTCAAACTGTAGGTTGTTGATAGCTCTAAACAGGGTACTCAAGGCCAGTTCACAAACAGTAGCTGACATTGGCCTGCACCAGAGACCTTCCAAAAACACTTAAGAGTCCTAGCAGGTCTACCTAATACATAGAAACAAACCCAAACAGGCAGCCAAAATGGGGAGACAAAAAACAAGCCCCAAATAAAAGAACAAGAGCAGTCTCCAGAAAAAGAGCTAAATGAAGTAGAGATAAGCAATCTATCAGACACAGAGTTCAGAATACTGATTGTAAGGATGCTGAACAGCATGAAAAAAGGTATGGAAGCTATGAAAAATGACCAGTCAGAAGTGAAGAATGAAATAGCAGAAATAAAGAACACAATGGAATAAATAAACAGCAGATTAGAGGAATATGAGGATTGGATCAGTGAATTAGAAGACAGGGTAGAAAAAAATCATTCAATCAGAGATCCAAAGAGAAAAAGCAATTAAAAAACAGAAGGATAGTCTAAGGGAGCTGTGGGATAGCATAAAACATAACAATATTCACATCACAGGACTACCAAAAGAGGTCAAAAGTAAGCAAAAGTTAGAGAACCTGTTTGAAGAAATAATGGCAGAAAACTTCCCTAACCTGGTCAAGGAAAAAGTCACACAACTTCAGAAGACAGACTCCCAAGCAAGAAGAATCCAAAGAGGCCCACACCCAGACACATCATAATTAAAATGCCAAAAATTCAAGACAAAGAGAGACTCTTAAAGGCAGCTAGAGAAAAGCAATCTGTTACCTACAAAGGAGCTCCCAGAAGGTTGTCAGCTGACTTCTCATCAGAAACTCTACAGGCCAGAAAGGAACGGCATGAAGTAGTCAAGGTAATGCAAAACAAGGATCTGAAACCAAGAATACTCTATCGAGGATGGCTATCATTCAAATTAGATTGTGAAATAAAGAGCTTCTCAGACAAAAAAAGGCTAAAGGAGTTCACCACCACCAAACCAGCATTGCAAGAAATGTTAGACTGCTGTAATTAGAAGGAGAAATAGAAGTATTGCAAGAAACGTTAAAGGGATTGCTGTAATAATAAGAAACAGAGAGAGAAACATAGGCATAAAGAATTAAAATGGCAAGAAATAAGGACCTATCAATAATAACCTTAAGGGCTTTAAGGGAGAGAGCAACAGTACAGTCATAGTCGTGGACTTGAACACCCCACTGACTTCACTGGATAGATCTTCCAGACAAAAGGTCAACACAGAAACAGTGACTCTAAATGGCATTTAATTAACATTTACAGAATATTTCACCCCAAAGGTGCAGAATATACATTCCTCTCAAGTGCACATGGGACATTCTCAAAGACAGACTACATCTTAGGACACAAAACAAGTCTCTACAAGTTCAAGAAGAATGAAATCATATCAAGCATCTCAGATCACAATGGTATGAAGTTAGAAATCAACTACAGTAAAAACACTCAAAAACATTCAAACACATGGAGGCTAAATAGCATGTTATTAAACAATGAATGGGTTACCAATAATATCAAGAAAGAAATAAAAAACTTCCTGGAAACAAATGAAAATGAACACACAACAACCGTAAATCTATGGGACACAGTGAGAGCAGTCTTAAGAGCGAAGTTCATAGCACTACAGGCATACCTCAAAAAGCAAGAAAAATTTTTAGTAAGCTATCTAACCCTACAACTTAAAGAATTAGAAAGCTCCATGAAGCTGTCTGGACCAGGGCTTTTGTTTGCTGGGATTTTTTTAGTTAGTGCTTCGATTTCATCAGTTGTTATTAGACTATTCAGGTTTTCTGATTCTTCCTGATTCAGTTTTGCATGATCTCAGTCATATGTGGAATCTAATAAACAAAATACACTGAGGATCAAAACAGAGGATCTATGTCCAGAGACATAGAAGCATGGAACAGACTGATGAATCTCAGTGGGAAGGTGGGGGTGGGGGAGTGGGTGGGGAGAGGTTAATCAAAGAACTTATATGCATATATGCATAACCCATGGACACAGACAATAGTGTGGTGATGGCCGGGGGCTGGGGGGGAGGATGCGGGATTGAGGGGATCGACGGGGAAGAAAAAAGTGGGACATCTGTAATATTTTCAACAATAAAGATAGATTAAAAAAAAATACTAATCAAAACAAAAAAATTCATATAGCCCTAGCCAGTTTGACTTAGTGGTTAGAGTGTCAGCCCTTGGACTGAAGGGTCTTGGGTTTGATTCCATTCATGGGCATGTACCTAGGTTGCAGGCTGGATCCCTGGCTCCCGTCAGGGTGCATGGGGAAAGGAACCAATCCATGTGTTTCTCTCACATCATTTCTCTCTCTCCTCCGC